AATGAACCCCAGACCAAGAGGAAGCCAATATTAGTTGTTTGTCTGAATCACTTTTTGTACCCCTTCGACGTGAACCGTTGTGATAAATCAAATTCTCAATTCCGTTTAATCCTTTGGCTTGCAGTGCCCAGCTTCTCTTGAAGTTTGTTCGTTAATACCATCTTGAGGATACTGCAAATGAATTGAAAGGAAACTGCTCGCCCTGTAGTTCTTCAATGTTGCATTGTATCCCTTTTTGAACATGAAATCACAGATGGTTTTGAGGAATCGTGTGGAGTTGTAACTTCCTTCAAACAGTCTCAGAATAGGACCGTTAATATTTTGACCTGTAACACACCTCCTGCTTCCACAAGTTCTACCGGAATGCAGTATTTGCTAAATTCCCTTCATCACTTCTGTTTTGTCGCACGCCGCATTCTTGTGACTAGAAATCTGGAATTTCGTGAACTTCATTAGAATCTTTAGGTTCTTTAAGTCATTCTTATGTAATATCTTTAGATCATCTACGGTACTGCTTTTTATTCTTGTACAGTTTTCTAAAGAAATTTTCCACTCAAAACCATTTTCCATGATTGGGAGGAACGGATAACACAAATAATAACTCCATAAATCTGGTGCACAGCTCGAATTGTTCTGCAGCAGACCGCATCGTACCACTAGCGACGAACCGATGGGTCACAACAGTAAAGCATTTGCATGCCAGGACTGCAAGCACTAAATTACACGATCCGTGGCTCAGATGAGACGATGAAGAAAGGCATGTGAACCAGTGGCTCCTGCAGACACGCCCATACCTCTTTGCGCCGAATTCGGTCATCGGCATGCGACAGTTTACAAAGCATACATAAACGAAGAGAGCGAACTCCCATGCGAATTTTTAACAACCTGGAGTAAGGCAAAGATATAGTCATACGTGTTTCGTATGAGGGAAAGCCACACTACTCTTGCTGGATCCTGGAGTCCGCTATTCCGTTTACAACGCATTTGCATAGACTTTTCCAAAAAGGCTCAGTAAGTTAAATGCCCTGATGATTAGAGCACTCTCTGTGATTTCCTCTCATGAATAGGGCAACTACAACCCTCGTTTTCAGTTTAATAGCGTCCAATTTGACAGCCAGAGGATAACTACCTGGCTGCCCAAAGACTTAAGGCATCTCAGGGCGGATTTCATCGATTTAAGCAGCGTCGCCACTTTCGAACTTCTTACAGACTCTGCTATATCATATACTGAAAGACCAATATCCCTTTCCTGATACTTTTCAAGCGGGTTACTCTACGTTTGCAGCTTAAGGAAGTTCCTCCTACTTTTTCCATTGCTGAAATTTGTCCTTTTCCTGGGTAAGAGGCCGCCTTGACCTCTCTTATCTTACAAGACTGCTTGACAGAATTTCATTTTATATCTGAAATGATAGGTGGTCTGCAAGAAAGCTTTACTTCCGACTAAAAATTCGACTCCAACGCTTCCTCGAAAATTTCCTATGTATTACATTTCGCTTTGTTATCGCTTTATGCGCCTCATCATACTGTATTCGAGATGAAGGCCATTTGGTTCCAAACCACTTTTAAAACGATGTGGCCTTCTCCTTTGCAGCCATTTGAACCCATGATATCTAGGATTATTTTCGTTGCTGACTATCAGACGGTAGTTCAATACATTTTTAATGACGGCATTTAGCATGAGCCTCAAGTAAGCCATTTCTACACAGCTTGCACTCAGTTTAAATATGAGCCCTCACGCTGAGATCTGCCCAAACAGTCATGCAATACCGTGGGATAATTTCATATTTAATTCTACGATTCCTTCTGGCTCAGAGTTTCACGTGGTGTTCCATCTTTCACAACAGAGGATACCAACAGGATGTTATCACTCGCCTCTCTTCGATATCTACTGTAACGTGTCGTAACTCAGGAAGTATGACCATTGATTGTTCTTAACAAATTCCTGGGTACCAAACATACTTGTGCAATTTTGTGTAGGGTGATGTACGGTATGCGAAATGATGCAGGTTTCTATTCGCTGAATTTTCGCATTCTGCCTCAGTTCTCCAACGGCCTGCACGAATCAGATCACTTGGGCAACGTCGAACAGATGGAGTGTCAGTTTCACGATTGTCAAGTGGCAAAGCCTTACAAAACTTCACCATGGTTCCAACCTTGTCCAATTTGTCTTTCGTGTGGAAGCGCTACGCGTCATCGCTCCTGTAGCATTCTCTACTCTACGCTCCCTGCCTCAACCCCTGGACAAATGATTTCGTCCTTGGATCGTTGCAGCGTGTTCTGCAACGACCAAGTACAGGCTTGTGATCAAGCAGAATTCAATTTGAAATCTTTGAATTCATTGATTGTACCTCAGGCAAACAATATGACCTAGCATATGGCAGAAATACCATATGTTAATCCTGCCCATTTCGAATTTATGTGTCCAGAAAATGATCCCGAGACAAGACCCTGCACGTTCTTTGTACCATTGCCTTTTGTGTAACCGTCAGCTTGCTCTCGTCAGCTTTAATAGCAGACCAACAACCAACACTGCAAACCATGAAGGATAAGATGATTCAATCAAATAGTTGTTTCTTCGTTTGCATGGACAACTCACTGATGAGTAGAGACGTTCTAATCAGATTAAAGATGGCACCTGCTACCTGCTATCCTCGGCTGATTTTCCCCATCTAAGTAATTCACGCAGTCCACAGTACGGCCAAGGAATGCATAACTGATGAGTTGTTGGAGGTAGTAGCGATTCGCATAGACTCAGCCCCATGGCTGTACTCATTTCACATCCGTTTAGTTTTAGAGAAGCTAGCCTCCAATCTGATGGTAAAGAATTCATCTTACAGCTGCTGGATCTTCTGCTGATATTCAAAGGCCTCCTAAACACCCAAATATATGCATTACTCCCAAAAGTATGAGTTTGGTTAGAAGTATTCAGTTGGTATCCAGCTAACTTTCCACCTGGCACGATGCAGGGATGCGGTTTTGTATCCACATCCTGCTTATTCTATAGCCATTGAACCACTGTATGTTGAAAGGTTCCGCTAAGCGTTTAGAAAGGAAGGATGGAGCGATTGCACACTGGAAATCAGGAACAGTCACAGTCGAAATCTTGAAAATTGACTCTTTATGGATGCCTCTTGTACTGTACTCAGTAGGGAGTGTATTTTACAATAAAAGTTTCAAGAGAGGTCAATTCATCAATATCATCATCCTTAGGCGTCGTTGACTGACTGGTGGATGAAGGCCTTCAAGATTTGTCTTCTTACGTTTTCATCCAATCTAAATGTCTTCCTATGTCATTTACTTTCTCTTGCAACCTCCTCTACTGTCTCCTTGATGCGGTGATGGAAGGTTTTATTTGCTCAGTTCATTTTCACTTTAACTTCTTCACTCGGACGAAGACATCGCAGACCTCTTGTTTATGTGTGATCTTATTCATTGATTCGTCCAATTTTTTTCTTTTTATCGTCAGCATACATTTTTTATGACGCATTGTTTAGTCTGCCTCATATAAATAGCTTTCAGGCTTACGCCTACATTTTGCACCCGTAGTACACTGATCGAAATTGTCCGTTTCAACTTCAGAGGCAGTTTCCTGAATAAGAACATTTCCAGTCTTACAAAAAGTTTTCCGTGTCATTTTGATTCTTCCATTGATTCTCAATTCTCCGTTGCAGAGATTATGGACCAGAGACCTGATAGACAATTTGCACTTCTTCAAATGTAAGTCCTTTGACTTCAACAGGCAGTGCGATTACGCATTTTTTCAACGTTTCCTGCTTTCCTCCGGTTAATTTAATTCTTTCAGGAAGACAGGTATTAGGCTTAAATAGAAACTCAAAATATTCATTTAGCCTTTTCTGACGTGCTATGATGGTATCGAGCTGTCTGCCTCCTCTGCTCAGAACAGGTAGCAATTCCATTGCTGACTGGTGCCGTCGTCGATCTTCGGCAGTCGTTGTTGTGCTGCAAGCCCCCTCCATCACTCGTGACTGACAGAAAGATGAACAGGTTTTGATCGCCGATTTTTCTTAGCCTACCTCAGACCTGCATGGCTCTTGGTAACTCGGCGATGACCGAACCGGTATGATGTTCAATGACGGAAATACTATAAAAAACAGTTGGATAAGTTTTATGATAACTTCGCCATGACCTCCAACCCTCCTTTCAGCATGGGACCAGCAACGGCAGAGTTAGCGACGATTTGTTCACGTGTTGCGAATGCCTCCAGAAAGGAAAGCGACGCAACAATTTGTTGCCCAGTCGATCGACAGAAGGCACAGGGGACGACTGAGATTAATATGGGGGAAATATAAGGAATAACTCTGCACTAGACTCCAATTGTCATGCGCCGAAGCGCCGACTCTGGCACAGGATCGAGAACGTTGGAAGGTTTGTTTGACGCGTCTGCCTCCGTTACTCGAAAGGAGAAGCGGTCATGGAAGATAAGGATAATTTACTGAGATAAACTATTAATTTTCATATATCATTCAACGAGTTTACTACCGACAATGATCATTGTGCAGTCGTCATGTTTCATGGCGGCAAACAATGTGCACGACAAATTATTGTTGGCACTTTTCTCTCACTAGTTAGTACTCCTCACTGTTCGTGCTGTTTACATAACGAGTCGTCATCGGAATTGAATTCAGGACTTGATTTCAAATGAATTTCCCTAGGTGATCGAACAGATACTGTTGATGAGAAACAAGAACTCTTCGTTTGGTTTCTAGTGCAGTAAGAGATGTTGCTTAGTTGTTACTTTTACTTTAGTGATACTAAAACTTTAAGTGTACCCAGTTAACTGCACTGGCACACTTCAGAGTAGCTGGTGGAAGCCTAAAAATAAAATAGGCAACATTTGATCTGCATAAGCAGAACAGATGAAAAAGGAGTTTCGCGTTGTTTACTTCATCGACTGAAACTCCTGTTAAGGTAGCGAAAAGCAACAAGAGTGAAACAAATTCATAATAAAATAACTTATAAAGATCCATACAAGCTAAAAATCAATTTCCGCTAAATTGCTCATCAAACGGTGTTTTAATAGGCCATATTACTTAAATTCTAGGGTTAGTCAAAGAGAACCTTCATATTTGATATATTCAATGTCAGATTCTGCTACACCTTGAAATTCAGTTCGTCAAAGTTGCTGGCTTAGTACACAACCGGACCATCATAAGTTCTTCTGAAGAAGCTGCGCCCCGCAACCGAAAGCGCATACCAAGCCTTTTTAGAGGTTCTACTTTCCACATGGCTGATAAACGGACTACGTATATTTTCAACTGCTGATCTGGAATAAAGCCAAACATTTTCAAGAAAACAACTGAGTTAGCAGCAATTAGTTTATTGTAAAACAGAACTGAAATCAGAACTAAGCATAAAATAGAAGCCTACGTAAAAACAACTTCAAACGCTAACGGTAAAAAATTAGTCTGTTGCAAAACAAAAAAGTATAAAAAGAAACAATAACTAGCTGCACAAGACGAATGCACAAATGCATTAAAACTTTGGAAGACAAAACAATCTGTTTCTCAGCAATAACTGCAATTCAGTATTTCTGAACATAATTTAACAAACCCATGCTAGAAGGCATCTCAAAAATGCATAGGTACAACATCAAAATATAGACAAACATTTCAAAACACTTGGGCAACGGTTTTCTCAGATCTTTCAATCAAGCTTAAAAGGTGTGCAAGACGGCGTCGAATTTTCTTTTGGTCATCAGCGGTACATTCGATGATTAGTGACTGGAACTTTTGGTCAATGGGTCCTTCAGGCTGCTCCGGACTGCACGCGTTCAGGTAACGCTGACAAGTCTAAAACTATAACTTGACATATGTAGGGCAAAAGAACCAAATAAATAGACAAGACTCAGTTTTCATATAACAATAATTTCTTCAATTTATCTATCAAAATTATTTGCTTTGTCTTCAAGGAGAATAACTAAGGGGTAAAAAACGACAATTCAACTGGGATGCACTATTTTCTTTACAGTTTAATCAGTTAAATATAGGTTCCTTCGCATTTTACTAATTTATTACTACGCCTGCATTGATGACTATTTTGAAGCTAGTTTCAAGTCCTGACTAAGAAAAGACTGTATTTTTAGAGGCCTCGCTAAAGTCTTCAGAAAGTAAATCATTCAGAACTTTCTTGGCGATCGGTACTCTTTAAAACGCGACAAAATCAGAACAGACGGACTTTGCGTGTTGGTGCTAACTAATCGCTTTAGATTTTTGGACACGAGCAAAACTTTATCCAATAAACCAGACGCAGTATATAACGAGTACCTCAATTTTGTCTCTATCTCTGTTTGATGAGGCTGTTGAAATTTGCTACTGTTGAAACACTACCATCGACCGAGACTATTCCTCTGTTTGTCAATGGCTGCTTAGTACCTACGATCACCCACATTGTCCCAGTAGCTTATGCTCATCTGTAACAAAAAAGATTTCCGCATTATAAGTCAAGACCTTGTAATTATTTCTCCCTTAAATAAAATCGACCTGGAGGAAAATTGCTGACCTACTAAGCTCATGTATAGTATGTGCATGGCCTTGGGGACGAATAACAGCCATTCCTTACACTTGAAATTGAAACGAGGATTCTCTTGATGTTCAGATCTCGCATGCAAAGTCAACCCCATTCTATCTCCAATGAGGTCGTGACTACCATGTGTGTAAGACACTAAGGAATTCGGAGGAGCAGAAATGCATCATTGCATAAGCTTGTAGTTTTCTAGAAGTTTTACTGCTAATAAAATAACAACCGTTTTATACCATATATCACACAAGTACTGCTATATTGATAGCAAAACTTTCGCCTAAGCGAATAAACCTTATTCCTCAGAAGAACAAATGAAGATGGACCAGTTGGTGACAGCAGCTAAATCTCATACGCTATGAAATACTGATTGCGCGATTTAGTGCAAATCAAATTATTTGTCTTAACATCATCTGCAGCTGCTACCTCAATCGTTTTTGCTAGCTGCTGTACTTGCTAAAATTGACTTAACTGTTATACAGCCATAACAGCTTGCCTTTGACTTATTTCATGATCTGACGTAGGTCGCTGTAACGTGGTCAACAATAAGCTATTGCATATTTGCAACGCTGCTCCGCCACCCCTTCGATTAGACCTCATATATCGCTCATGAAATTCTGAAACTTAAGCCGAAAAGAATTGGGCTGAATCGATTAACACAAATCATAGCTAGTCATCAATGCCCGAAATCTCCAGAGCCAGATAAGTAGGTTTAGATCAGATATCGAACAGGACTTCATAAAACAACAAGAAGTTCTACTCACAACAAAAAACAACAGCAGCAATCATTGAAGCGCCATCTGGCAAACGAAGGTCACGCTGGGAAGAAGATTTCTCTCATCTCCAGTTATTTACTTTTTGCTATGAGTCTGTTGTTATATCGGTAGGCGAGTTAAAGGCTGAGTAGACGTTCTGACCACAAATATTTCTATACAGAGAATCCGTAGGTTGCGATTAAGGTTAAGATTGAGAATGTCGTGACTTATAGCAAAATGCTAGGCACCTAATACCTGAATATTTCAATCTGTGCTTCATGAAACTGATGAATTAAAATAATATAAATTATATTTATTCTACAGCTGATAAACTTCTGATTTTAAGGCAAGAAATAGAAAATATAAATATTTATCTGATAACGATGAACGATTTGTTTAGACAGACCTGTTTGCTGCCATTCATTCCTCATTCATAAACTGGTGAAACCGTGACCAGTTTCAACAGTCTACTGATTGGCTAGAAGC